GGCAATTGTAGAGACAAGAATATAAGAACAACAAAGTTCAGTGAAGAGTCTCTTTTCGGCGAATTCATTCAATCGCATTTATACATAATTATTTTGTGTGTACATTGGGATTGTCAAACAAAATTAAAATAAGTTACGCTTACTGTTTACTTCATCAAAATGTCTCCAGAAAGTGTGTACTACTTGATACCATACAGGGTAATCATTATATCAGGCATTAATAATGCATGACGCTACAATACTACTGATAGACCAGGATGACTAATTGAGTACTAATCACAGCAACTAGTGGTGTTTGCTAGCCAGCTAGGCTGAAATTATCTAAGCACCAGAAAGGTATTTCTCCTATTTTGTAGAGCCTTCAATCATCATCATCATCATCACACCCAATCCACCGCTTTCATTACCTAACTATTTATAATTTTTATTTTTTATTTTATTCGTTTACGTTTCCAGTGGAACATAGGGGGCTTCAAGCTAGAGCCAGTTTGATGTTTCGGGATGGGGTTGCTAGTCTCAGGCCCGACCTTTCCTCTTTACCAGCCCTATTACTGGCTTAGCAGGCAAGGTAAAGGAGTGTGTTGGTCAGGGACCGAACCCTGAACCACATGCATGATTGGCGATACTCCTCATAAAGAACATCTTAATTTAAACACACAGGGATACACAGGATCGATAAAAAGACTCTAAAAAGAACTGGATTTCGCGTATGTGGATGACAGTGAATGTGTCAGACAAAGTCGAAGACTTGCAGTAGAAAGCCAACAAACTGGCTGAAGAAGCGAAGACAGGAATACGCTTGAACATAGAGGATAGGGAGGTGACGAGGCTAATCAACCCACCAACGAGCAACAACAACAACAACAACAGCAACAACCAGCACTAATCACTATCAACGGGAGAAATATGTACTAGGGTCTTGCTGGTCAGACTTCCTGTCGATCACTAGATGGACTCGTGCTCACATATATTTAATCTAGCTTTCACAACAAAGTCGTTGTGCAATTCTTGAAGGAAATATAGAAGAAGAAGACGAAGCACAATCTACTGATCTGGCGGTTCTCTCTCTCTCTCACACTTCATATGTGATAACAGTAAATAACATGGTTTGCGTGTATGAAGAGGGAATATTCTCTGGGGGATTAAATAGGCTGAAAATTTCTGTACTACGTGTTCGCATATATTGTCTAAAATAAAACTTTATTATTATGATTATTGTTATCATTAATGAATGGATTACTGGTTTCAAATTAAAAAAAAACAATAAACAAAACAGGTGGATATTAAGCTAGACAGTTCATCAATTTTATGCAAATTTTTTAAGACTGAAGATTTACGACAGAATGACGTCAACAAATACTCAGACAGATGGGAAGACAGACAGGCAGACAAATAGACGATGGTGGGGATAATGATTCCTCTTTATGAGGACAGAAATAAACTAACTAGCTGTTAAAAAAAAAAATAATTCATGATACGTGTTGGATAACTATGCACGCGGATTTGACGGGTTACGTGGATTTACTAAGTCTGTCTGTCTGTCTATTTTCGACATAGAACATTGCCCCGATGTGTGCCACACTCCCTCCATGTACCACACAGAGCAAGAGAAGAAAGTAAAAACAAATGCATAATAGAGACAGTAAACAGAAGTGTGAGACAAAGGAATAGTAATAACGAAGAACAATATAGTTTCATTGGAAACTATAAATCACAAGGAGTGGATGCATTTGCACCAGCCATCAATGAGAACGATTAGTTTGAGCCATATCACCGATTGTCTCCAGCCTTCATTGGTGTTTACCGTCCTGAGGACCTCAACCAAGAAGTCTACACTTTCCTACGTGGCTGGCTGACTTAAACTAACTGTTGTGGATTTCATTGATTGATGAGACCATGTTTTGGTTTGACCACCAAGTGATAGCTCTTTTCCAGCCTAACCGTGTGTCAGCTAACATTCCCCGTCGAGGAAGGCGATGACTAGACATGCATACGTAACACACGTACTAACCATCTCAGTCGATGTAATTCACTCAGAATTACTAAGAATGCTAGAGAAGTTTCCTAGAAGCCTGGGAATAGTGTAAAGACATCAAAACTTCAATCAATAGACGTACTAACTGAGGTTGAACAGGTTTATCTTAATCAGGTCACCGAAACGATCGACAACCAATAAAAATTAACACAAAGATAGGAGAAATTCTGAGGACGAGACAATCACAGAGTCAAGATCGTCAGAATGCAGACAGTTATACCATTCATAGAGATTTCTAAAAACATATTGAGGTAAGATCTGAAGACGTTGTCCATAGTAGAACAATGAAAGCTTGACCATTGGACCCCTCTCTTTCAGTTCATTAAGAGTAAAACCTTCAGAAACATGGAGTCCATATACAAAAATTTCCTCTAGTCACTGAAATCAATGAGATTAGAAGGGAAAGCAAATTTAAAAGCTTAGTTGACTGATATTACACGCCAAGCCCTTTGGTGGGACCTAGATGGGAAGCGATACGGATTGGAGGGCAGCCGAAGGTGACAGGGAGGATAGACAATGTGATGATGAGGAAACGAAGACTTGAAATATAAACTTGACTGATAGAATTCAGCCTGCAGTAAACACAGCACTAGACATATGACACCCGTTACTGGCTAGTGTCCAATCAAAAGTATCTAATACAGTCTTACAGGAGGTCAATCGCGAGCCCGGATAGCTCAGTGGTAACACCTGTGACTGCAGCACACACTGGGTGACATGGGTTAGAATCTCAGAAAGGACTTGAGTTTCTTCAAAGTTGCAAATATGCCTTGCTGACGAGTGAGTGACAACACTAGCATGAAACCTAGGTCCAAGCAGAGCTCCCTGCGGTCGATTGCCTCCAACCATCTAATAACAGCACTCCTGAGTGTACCGTGACGACAAGCCACTACTTAGCATAGTGGCCACATTGAGATCTTGACTGCAGTAAACAACAGGGCAGTGTCTAATCCAAAATGAAAACATTGCACACAGTAGTGAAGCCAACTGAAAGCGATAACAAAGAACTGACTGCTATGGAGATGTATCACGGAGGCACTTTTCAAATATAAAATCAACATTTAAAGTTGGGAATGTTACTCAACAACCCACAACCACTTTCAGTTTCATACAGTTGAAAATAAGCTACACTCATTGTGTGTTGGGACTGGTCATACTACCTGGGACTGACTGGGCCACCTCGATGCACGCCAGGGGATTCGAACCCGTGGTCTATTGATTGGTTGGAAGTCAAGCGGCTAGATCAATGAACCATAGCTCCGTGACATTTGAAATGATTCGACAAATCTGAAGATTTTGTTAGGCAGATATGCTTACCCCTGCTTTTATTGATTATCTTTCATATTTCGACTTGTTAACTTGTGAATTGGAGCAGCAATCCATCAACCAATAGATCTAATCATATACAAGTGGAAAAACCGCATTTTTAGATGTTTCACTTAATTGTCAACAAGTTTGGAGTAATCCTTCATTTTGCCAAGGTGCTAATCGACTTCTATCCGTCAAGGCGATTAATTCGTCGACAGTGGACTTTGGATTGTTGTTAGCTGGCTGCAGACAGATGAAAACCCTGGAACTAAGTTTGGAACCCGTCAGAAAGGTATACTTCCAAACTTGAAAGAACTAAGATTCATTCCCCTGAAAATCTGAATCTACATCATATATCTAGGACTTCACAGTCAGGAACATCCAGGAATTCCTACCGATTACCTCCAAATTACGTGAAATCTATTGGTTTAGCATTATAAAACATGAACATTATGTCTTGGATGGTGACGATTAGTCAATTTAAAACAAAAACACATACATCAGAATTTAATTTGTGGATGATGACTAGCAGTGGAATCCAAGACAATGCGCGTTTCGTCCTATTTGTGACTCGTCACTGGATGTGTTTACATTTCCCAGTGGGTGATGATGTTCCCGCCGAGGCTCGAGCCCAGTGACCGTACTTTCAAACGCCGAGACGTTATCCATTTAACCACTTGTGTCACGAGAGCCACCACTTGTGCAACGGGTCATATTAATTTAATTGAAGTTTAGATTTTCCCGTCGACTGATTGGACCGAAGTGCTCGGCCTCAGGTTGACATCTAAAATTTAATTAAATTAATATGACCCGTTGCACAAGTGGTGGCTCTCGTGACACAAGTGGTTAAATGGATAACGTCTCGGCGTTTGAAAGTACGGTCACTGGGCTCGAGCCTCGGCAGGAACATCATCACCCACTGGGAAATGCAGACACATCCAGTGACGAGTCACAAATAGGACGAAACGCACATTGTCTTGGATTCCACTGCTAGTCACCATCCACAAATTAAATTCTAATTAAATGCCCAAAAATCGTCGAATCATCTGCACAACAAGCCGACATGTCAACCTGAGACTCAACACTTTGGTCCAATCAATCGACGGGAAAATCTAAAATTCAATTAAAGCACATACATATCCAAAAAAACCGACAGTGTGTCATCGTCTTATTGTATAGAGGGGATCAACAATACATCAATTGTCCGGATTTCAGTTAATGGAAGGAAAAAGCGATTCAAACGTGCGGTAACTAATTGGCCAACTGAAAGTTTAAGTAACGTATTATAAAATACGGGCGTCGGTGGCACCGCGTTAGAATGTCCGACAACCACGCAGGTGGTTCGGGGTTCGATCCGAGGCCACTGACGCACTGCTTTACCTCACCAAGCCAATAATAAGAATGGTAAAGAGGGAAGGTTGACGGGTGGGGAGTGAATGAGGCTAGAAACTCCCATCCTGTAAAAATGAACACCAATGCTACCAAAACTTCAAGGGAGTAAGATAATAATAATTAAAAAAAATAATTATTATTACCATTTTGAAATAACACTTGATCATCCGAAAAACAACAGCACATACTACTAATACTAATTATCAGTAAGTAATACTGTGTAATGATTAAGAAAAAAAATAAACAAACACATATAGACACTTACCCAGCAAATGCAATAATTAAACGTTCAATTAGACGTTCTTCATCTTTAGGTATTGATTTATTGTGAATAAAAAAGTGCTTGTTAATGAAGATATCTGGAAGATTTTCAACCGCTGACTGTTCGATATCATCTTCATCGTCATCATCATTGTTGTTCTCACCGTCTCTCTCAATCTCGTGATTATCCACCTCCTCCTGTTCACCATCACTAACAGTAGTAGTAGTAGTAGTAGCGGCAGCAGGATTATCTGGTGCTTGGTTATTACTTGATGCCATTACTCTAATAGGAGGCAAAAAGATGGACAAGAACAGAACAGGCATTATTTTATGCAACAATGAAGTCGAGGCACAAGAACTAAACACTGAACTGGTCAGATAAATGAGACTTATCTAGATATCATATCATTATTATTATGTGACTGACTGGGTACAGGATTTTATCATTTTTATTTATTTTTTTAATAATACCTCGATTCCACACCATATTTTTGGTACAAGTATGAAATTTTCAGCATGTGATATCGGTAGCCCAAATTTTGTAGGTCAACCATTGATATCAGATGTGCGTCGGCAGGGAGTCGAACCCCAGACCATGTGCATGGTCGGCGAGCGTCCTAACCGCTGTGCCACCGAGGCACAACCCTGTTATATCAACTTTTAAAACTGCCATTGTATAGTTACGTGTATTTGCATGTATTGCTATAACTGAGGTATTCTTTAGAGTTTTAATCTAATCAAAGTCAACTGATATAGATTTTTCTCGGTTTCTGTACTCCATTAGTCAGGCGGACTCCATCTAACTGTTTGACCTAACAATCACACTGCTCCACAGAATATTTTAAACGACACAGAATGTTTCCAAATACGTTTGTGGGTTTGAGTACCATTTTTATTCCTGCTTAGTTAAGTATTTCTACGTAAGGTTGCAGAGGTTCTCTTCTCGTACAGATGCCCAAGTTTTATACATGTTTAGAAACAGAATATTTGTCGCGTAAAGTAATATAAAATCAAATGAAGGCCTGATTTATGCTTAAACCACAAGATATATGTAGTTTGCATCAAATGAATCATACTTTAAGCCTGTAACAATTTTGAAAATATGTGAAAAAAAAGACATACTAAGTTACAAAACCAGTGGATGGCAGATTTACTGCTAGGCTACTCATACTACTTAAATGCACTTGTAAGTAGACATTGGAATACTTTTGAAAAAAGGATGCCATTTGATGCATGGAATTACAGATGAACAAGAAATCGGACAAAAATAATCCTATATATATATATATATAACACAGAGAAAAAAATAAGGGCGAATTCAACAGACTATTTATTCCATTACAAATATCCAGACCACAGGATGTTGCAATTGTGGTCACCGAGTCAGACTGAATCATTACAAAAATTAAGTGAAAATAACAACCATATTTTTTCTGAACGTTTCGCTGTGTAAGCCGCAGCTTCTTCACCAATGAAGTAGACACGAAAAAGAATCTTAGCGAAAAAAAGATCAACTGTAGCAATGCATACAACGTAAAAGTTCGATTTTGCCAATGTCGAAGGATTGGGAAAAGTGCTTTCATCCATATATACAGCGAAAGACTGACCACTTGGAAATCTGTCATGCTTCAACCACAAAGAATATGATTGACCAATAGTAGTAGGAGAAAAGGGATAGACCTTTTTATCAACTATCTGGCAGACTCTCTCTAATAAATTAGTTTATAGGGATTTGTTTTTTTTTCTTTTTAACTTTGATCATAGATTGATATAAGTTAGGGAACCGTTAAGAACCATGAAGTACTGGATAACTGTTTTGTCTTATTACGTGAGTCACCGGCAGTACGCACCCACTGTTTACTAACGTACTATGCCCCGTAAGAAGTCCACCTGGTTTGACTCAATCAGTTTGCATCGGCTGGTTTGAACTGATTCTCGACTGTCTCAGTTGAATCGAGGCGAGTATCCCACCGATGAGCTCGGCCCGAAAACGTGAGAGAAACGTCCATCCGGTGTTTAGGTCATTCTGATTTGGTAGATTTTGAACTATCAGTAGCGGTGATATTATTATTTTTTTCGACGAGGTAAGGTTGTTAGCCTCAAGTCTAACCCCGACCATCCCACACTTTACCGTATTTAATACTGGCGAAACAAAAGTTTAGGTGGAGTGCAATCACAATAAATTCGGGAATCAAACTCCGAACCACGTGGTTGGTGAGCATTCTACTACCGCTTGACCATCCCTGAGACACGTCATCATCTTCACTGGTTGGTTATCTTGTGGCGCGTGCTACTGAAAAGATTTATCAGTAGTATATATATACATATATGTTAATCGGCAGAAAAAACATCAAATAGCAGGGAGATACAGTGAATGTCAGGGAAAGCGAATGATACAGAGTGGCGGAGATACATGGGGAGATGTGAAAGGAACACAAAGAAACACAATATTGAAGGAAGGCCATAAGCACCATAGCACAACACAGAAGATCAGTGCAAATGGTGCGTTAAAGATAAGGCGTGACATAATTTGGCTATATATATACAGATACCAAATCGCAACGTAAAGATTCCTTTACCAAGTCTTTTACCTTTCCAGCGTGAACACAAACGAGGACAATAAGTCTCCTTCCTTCATTTCAGTAAATAAAGTGTGGTGAGAGCTGGCTGTTAGTCAAAATTGGTGGACTGTAATTTACGTCTTCAGTGCTGGTCGTGAGAAAAATAAGAACAAAGATTGATTCAACAACCAACCATAGCAGACTTTGCGTGGGCGGATACAATTAGCATATAGATGATCTGACATTCAAGAAACAGTCACAAAGAGATGCAAGGTTAACTTTCTGTGAGAAACAGCCAATCAGAAGACTGTATTCCTCTGCTAACAATAGTGTATAATAATGTACATGAAATATATATAAATACGTGTTGATTTCCTTAATGAACGATCTGTTGCCTGGCCCTTGTCTTCTATTGTTACAAAAGTACAAAGGAGAAAGAGAAGAAGAGGACAAAAGGATGGACAAACCTTTGGATTTCATCGTCTGTATCCTCATTCTCTGGATTATTAGTTCTCGCTGAAAAATAAATTAAACCAAGATAATAATAATAATAGGACACACAGACATGAGAAAATTAGACTAGAAAAAGGATAATAGAAAAATATAGTAACGTCTCTAAAGTGAATACTTATGTGATAGATGATATATGCACATGTATTCACACGAATAGAATGACTACAATACACAGTGACCAGAAGAGAAGTATGAAATCTGGACACAAATTTCTTTCGTTTTTATAGTGTGGTGAGCGCAGCCTGTAAGCTACTAATAAAATCCTCCAACCAATCAAACTAAATCCACATAAAGATCAATGCTCACTAGCGACTGGTCCTATTCAGGCAGTGACCTCGGGTAGGGTGATTAGTAGGATAGCGCAGGTTGAAGATGAAGCAGTAACTACTCATCGAAGAAGACATTGTGAAGTGGTTGCGCTATGTCATGAATTTGCAGAAGTTAGAATTCATGGACTGACTAGCCATTGGATCGGGTCCCAGTGGCTCAATGGTCTACGAGCTTGCAATCCTTGTAACCAGAAGGCCCTGGGTTCGAAACCCGGTGGGTGGGTACTGATGAAGAGTGTATTCCCAGTATTCCCAGCTTTTCGAGTGGTTCTTGTTATGTACTCGTCGAGTAGTTAATAGTCCTGACGCGGAAAGAGGGAAATCAGAAGACCCACCAGGTTTACGATGATACTTGTATTTTCCAGACAAGGAAAATAATTGTCACACAAGAGTGTGAGTGAAATGGTACGAGTGTGCGAAATGTGGGAACACAAGAATGAACAAGGGTCTAATACAAAAGTATATATGAAAATGGCTAATACACATGAACCAAAAAGATAACGTCTTACCATGATTGGTTGTAATGTCATGTGACAACAAGGTCATGCATGTTTATTTAATTAGTGAACAGACAAAATCATATTGTCAATTATAATGAAATATCGATCCATATACAGATAGCAAAATATAATAGACTGTCAACAACAAAACACACACATCATGTGGATACATATCAGTTCACTAACGGATGTCAGCTCACAATGAAATCCCCCATCCAATTTACGCCAATGTTTACGTGGCGAATTGAGGCCATGAGAAAAAACATAATAACGAAGCTTAATCTTGAGGAAATTGAAACTGAGTGGGCGGGTAGGATTCGCTTAACATTCTAAGAAATGGTCACAAGCAGTAGAAAATAACCTTCAGCAAGAAAACAACCAATCAGAAGACGTTGCTTCTCTGCTAACAATAAGGCTAATAATAATGTTCATAAAAATCTATAAATATCTGTTGATTTTGTCAGTCAATAAACGATCTGTTTCCTGGCCCTTGTCTTCTGTCGTCACAACAGGACTAACAATCAATATACAATGTGCCGGTAACTAATTCCCCTTTTTTCTGAGAATTTTATTGCACAAAAACCAGATTATTATCATTATTACTTTACGTTAAAATTAGGGAAAAATAGCAAATAGTTTGTATCTCATAGGGCAGGGGAGGGGGAGGACGATTTTAATGTGGTTGAACTCTTCGAGGTGGGTAAAAGTTAACTGCAAAGCTTTCGTTTTCCTGTTAGATAATACCGTCAACACAAGCACCAATTAGTGAAGAATAGGCACCACAGGTCCAGTCACCTTGAAGCAACCAATCAGATTGATCAGCATTACAAATGGAGGCTTTCCACCTTAACCTTAATCGTACCGCAAACTTAACCTTGAAACAAGGTGAAACTTGCAAAGAAGATAATCAAAAGTATGTATCTATAATACTCAGCGATATGATTGGTTGCTTTCAAGGTCATTTTTATTGTGATGTCTATTTTTTTTTCACTGTTGCCACACAAGCTTTATCATGAGGTGAACTTATCTGCAGACTACAGAAGACCCAACAACACCATTTACACAATAAATTAAATAAATTGTAATAAACATTATATTGGCACCAAAGTGGGAGATTCTTTCGACTTCGACTGTAAGAACACGAACTAGCTGTTAAAAGACACGATATGTATTCTGTCATAACGATGCATATACACAGTTACAGAGAAGAATTTGATTTGGGAGAATGTAGAAGCATTGAAGCCTGGTTGGTACTCATCAGATGAATCAAGGATTAAGTGACCAACTATTATAGATCAGATGTGTTAACTAATAAAGAAAAATTGCAAAAAGCAACTGGAAGTACTGGACAGCTGTTTCGTCAGCCTAGCTTGCGACTCTTTGACGGTGCGCCCCCAAACTAGAACGAAACGGTGATCCAGTACTCCCAGTTGGTTTTCCAATGGTTCTCTAACCGATGTCACTTCTGGATGAAATCCTCCAATCAATCAAACAAAAGCCATATGACAACAAGATTCAACTTCCAAGTCAACAAAATCGACCACCAAAAGATGGCAAATTAACAACCAGTCATGATAATGATTGTAAGGGGATGCAATTTAATATGACTCATGAAGAATTCATAAAAAAGTTCACTTCACATTGAACCTTGCGCTGAGGAGGTTGTCTAGCATGACAACGAAAACTTCGTATTAAATTCTGAAGCACAGAGAATATGACCACAATAGAAACAATCTGAATTATAAACATTGTTATTATTTCCTTTAATTCCTAGAAGAACATAGGGCTTCAACCACGCGTCTTCATTGCGTTCGGTTCTCTGCTTAAGTTTTCACCTGGCTCCAGGTCTGCCCACATGCTTTCATCTCCTGTTCGCATCACCACCTTCTCCAAGTCACCCTTGGACGACCAACTTGCCGCTTCCCTTTCAGTCGGGTACCACTCGAGCGATGGCTTGTCTAGTGATGTAATTTGATGGTTTCCTCACAGTATGGCCAAACTACCTCCATTTCTTCCTGCTTATTTGTTTCACAATCGGTTCCTACTGGGTTGGTTCGCTCATTGCCAGGGATCCCTCCCTATTGCTGATCTTCTCTGGCCATCTGATCTTGAGTATTGAGCGAAGACAGCTGTTAATGAAGGTCTGTAGTTTGTCTGAGGTGCTCTTTATGACGCGCTGGCCAAGTCTCTGATCCGTATAGTAGCACTGACTTCACATTGGAGTTGAAAACCCGGATCCGAATTATAAGCATGGTTTTGACTAAATATGCAGCCTAACTTCTATTTAATTTTTAATCCTTTATGTTCTGAATGGATCAACAGGCTAGAAAGCTTTGAAGCTTCTGGTAGTCAAAGCGATAGCGTTGTCCCTGTTTTCACATCAAGCGGTGGGTCTTTGCTAGCCTCCTCGTACACATTAAACCTTCTCTCTTCTGTTTTCCTGGATTTAATACCAGCTATCTAGCAAAAGTAAGCGAGTTTCTAAGAATGTGTCAGACGGTAATTGAACTAAGACCATCTGTGTGACTGATGGCCATTCTACTAGTGAGCCACCTGCACAGCAGAATGCAAAGTATTTAAGGTTTTCTCTCTATTTGGACACTTAGTTATTGATATAAGTATAAAACTTGGGCATTGTGGTACAGTATAAGATAATATTTTTTATTTTGATAAATCACACAGTGTTTGTTTCTGAATGTACATTATCCCATATTGGTTGATTTTGATTCAAATGTCTAATCATTAGTTCCACTCATGTACATAAATGAAGTAAAACGTCGTGTGAGTTACATGATATGATTATGAGCGGCAATAGTTTGTGCTCAAAACGTGGTCATCAGTTAATATTACTGTATAAGAACACGGTGTAATTTATCAAAATAAAATTTTATCCATCATGGAAACTTAGTTACCTGGACTAGACAGATACATACATGGCCTATGAGAGATAAGCTAATGGTACTGTTGACTAGTTGCCCAAGCTGAAGTAGGTAGAGGTGATATTTAAACCCGGGACTGAATTCGGATCAAAGTCAATCGCATAAAACCAATTAACTATGTCGCCATAAAGGTTATTATTGATTCATAACTTTTACTTAGGAAAAACACGAAAATATCTTTTGTTTTTCAAAGGCATACCGACTCAGACCACGAAATGACTTATGCTAAAAGCCTGGGTGTAGTGGAGAGCTGTCTTGTCCTAGTCTGAACCATGATGGAACGAACTCTGAAAGACCTAGAGGTAACGAATCCAAATTTGTTGACGATTAAGCCACTTGGGTTGAAATCCAATGGTCTATGAATTCTAACTTCTGTCAATTCATGATATATATAACGCGACCATCAGCCACGAATAGGAACTCACCTATAACATTGGCTGGCGGTCGGGATATATATATGTCGCTAACTGGCAGGCGTTAAAATCGGTCGGTCATTGGATTTCATGCCAACGGTTGAACGGCATGAGAGTTCGCCATGTAATTTGAAGGTATTAGGTTCGAACCCCGTTGATGTCATGGGTCCGTAATACAGAAGAATCCCAAACAAGGATGAGATAGCTGTAGAGTACTACCCAATCTTCAGCGGCTTCTTAGCTGACGCATTTAGGTTAGCATAATCCTATTTAGGTGGTAGTATCTAGCAGTCAAATCCAGTAGACAGATTTCGTCCTGTGTAGAACTCGTCATCTGGGGGTACATGAAACTCAAGTGACTGATGGTGTCCCGACTGTGACTTAAAAGCCATAGCTCATCATTTCAAACGCTCAGTTGTCATCAACTAGGCCAGGTATAAAATATTAGTTGTTGAAATTTGGATTAATGCCACAATCGAATCCCAGTGGGAACCCCGTCATTCACTAGACAGACACGGATGATGAGTGATGAATAGGACGAAACACAGTTCCTGAAAACCACTTCTAGCTACCATCAATCAAATAGTTAGAAGATGATGATTTCAGAGGCATAATATGCATCAAACGGCTAATTGAATGAAAGACTCCTTAGTGGGACACTAATGTTACAATGAAATAGACAGGTGATACATCAGACAATATCTAGTATGTGAGTAAATGTATTATATTGTGGTGAGAGCAGGCTGCTAGCCAATTTGGTAAACATTAATTTACGTCAATGTCTAGGTCACTAATATTTGCCGTGAGAAAATACGAACACGG